CTACATAGATCCCCTTCCAAGTGGTTGACGTTGGTAGCCGGGCACCATCTAGTTCTTCTGGTCTCATAGTCATATAGGCTGCAGATCGGATGGTGTACCAGTCGCTGGGACCAACTCTTTCCATGAATCTCCAGTTTTCCTCATTCCTCTTTGCTCTGGACGAGGAGAGACCCATTGTTGCATCTACATGGTAGCTTACAAGCTTTTAAGATCCCAGTCGCTCCTCGCCAAAATAGGAGGTGGAATAATGTTTTGTGTAGTATGTTATGCCAATTGAGCTTGATGTCCTCTGCGACTGTGGTCCTGAGCCCACAGGTTCAACTGCTTGGTCCCTCTGGGTAGCTGACTGTGACCAAGAAGTGACTACAACCTTGCCCCTCAGACACGTACTTTTTAATATTTAAGTATATGTTTCCTCAGAACAATAATATTCTCTTACATAACCACAGTACAAATTTAGGAAAGTTAGCAGTGATAAATTTCTGTCATCTAATATGCAATGTATATTCTGATTTTGCCAGTTGTTCTACTGTTCTTTGTAGTAGTTTTTCTCCAATATGAGATCTAGACCAGAATCTTTAATTGACATGTCTTTTGGTCTCCTTTAATCTGTAACAGCCCATAAGACTTCCTTCATGTTTCTTGAAGACTACTACAGGCCAGTTGTTTAGTGGAATGCGTATCAATTTGGGTTCATCTAATACTTTCTCATGATTAGATTTACAATCTGCATTTTTTGGCAAGAGTCCTATGTAAGTAATGTATTCTTCTTAATATATAAGGGCAGAAAGAATATATACCAGTGTATCTCTGGTGGCATAGTGCTTAAGGCATTTGACTGCTAACCGTAAGGCTGGTGGTTCAGACCCATCAGCCACTCCTTGGAAGGAATATTGGGCAATCTACTTCCATAGTGATACTGCCTCGGAAACCCAAGGAGGGCTCGCTATGAGTTGGATCTGACTCCATGGCACTGAGTTTGGTCTTGTTTATCCTGTTATTGGTGAGGTTGACTTGGTATCTTGATTAAGGTGGTGTCCACTAGGTTTTTCCACTGTAAATTAGCATTTCCCCCTTTGTAATTAATGAATAATATGTAGTGGAAATACTTTGAGACTCCATAAACATCTTGCTCCTCATCAATCTTTTACTTAATAGTTTTATGATTCTTGCTCAAATTAGCTGCTTACTGTCTTGGTTGAAAAATGGTTTTCTAAGTCCATCATTCCTTCTATATTTATTTGTTGACATTTTACTCTAAAAAAGCTTCTCCTCATTGGTGAGTTTTGAATGGGGTGGGAGTGACAGGCTCTGAATTATGTTTTGACAGGAACACTCCAGCTGCTGTGTTGAGTAGATCATAGGGCATGAGAGTAGAAGCAGAAGGACCATTTCGAAAGCTATTGCAATAATCCATGCAAGAGAATTGATTTAGACCAATGAGATGAGGAATAGTCAAATTCTAGATGCATTTTAGTTGTAGAGCCAATGTTATAGTCACACAGTGCCAAAAAGGCAAGGAGGCCACGTCTCCTGGCCTCTTCATAACCGCACAAGAGGAAGACAGAATCACCATCAGTAACCTAACGCCTATTCCTGCAAGGCCACACATGCTGCCTCCCTCCAGCCCTTTCACCAACCATTCCTCCCAAAGTACCCACCACCGCTCTCCTAGGTCCGATAATTCACTGCAGTGGCCACACAGAACTCACAGATTATGGGGTTTATTAGGGAAGCACCAGGCTACAATTCAAGTTCAGGAAGAATGCTCAGTCTCTCTCTCGGCCCACAGTCTCTCTCCTAACAGTCTCTCACAGTTTCTCTCCCAACAGTGAATGTCTCTCGGTGTCTCACTCAGCAATGCGTGTCTCTTGCGTCCCTTTCCCAGCAGCGTGTATCTCTTTCAGGAGCGTGTGTCTTTTTCAGCAGCACGTCTTCTTCAACCAGCAGTCAGAGAGAGACTTCTTCTGCCTCTAGGAAGCCTCCTTTTGAGCCTGGCAGAGTGGCCAAACTAACTAATCATAACATCAGAATTCTAAGCACCTGAGAGAGAGCAGGAACCTTTCAGAACATTGCTTTGTGTTGCGCCCAACAGAAATACCCCAGGTGGATAACTTTTACAATCAGGAGCTCCTCAGTTGCTCACAGCAAATTCCACCACAGAGTTCACAAGGACTTATGGCTAGAAAAGCTATACTAACTAATTTACTACACTGCACATGGTAATTGCAAATATAGTGAGAGAGTTTCTGTGTACCTTTCCTCTAGCTTCCCCTGATGATAGCACATAAACTCTCATAACTATTTTTAATAGTGCACTTAACATTGGCAAGTGAACATTTATTTTAAAGTGAATTTTCACTGTAATTCTGTTTATTGTTGGAGAATTTACAACCGTATGTCATTTTTGTTTTCACTTCCAGATCAGCCAGCATTACCAATCTGTCACTGGATCGATCTGGATCTCCTATGGTACCTTCATATGAGACATCTGTCAGTCCCCAGGCTAACCGAACGTATGTTAGAACAGAGACCACTGAGGATGAACGCAAAATTCTTCTGGTAACAGCCCAGTCTCTTTGACCCATTGCTAGTTTTGAACATAAAGCATGCTTTTATATCACTGATTTTTGTCTTAGAGAAATATACAAATGGATAGCCACTTAGCATATAAGTTAAACAGAGAAAATAATTAGCTTAAGGCTTTATTGGAGTAACTTGAGAAATTGGTCAAGTGTTCATCACTCACATACTGTGCTGATTTTTTCTTGATACCATTCATTTGGCAAGATCAGAATTCAGGTGCCTATATAATAAGAGAGCTTAACCTGTGGTTAAGTCTCAGATTGCTGTTTAAGCTTTGAAACTTTTTTCTCATACATGTGGAAAGCATTTCAGACATTCAGAACTATATATGACTGGGCATGTCTTTAATAGAGAAGTAAGACTTTAATAGTATTATTTTAAATACTTTAATAGTGTTTACTTTTTAATAGTAAAACGAGTGTCAAGTGAATAATACAGAGCATAGGTCCTATGAGAATTCAGAGAATAAAAGATCATTACTAGGGAAGGAATCAGGAAAAGCTTTATACAGAAGGGATTAGAATGGATTTGAAGAATGGGAATGGATTTTGATAGGCAGTGAGGAATGGGAATCTTTAAAGGTGTGGGGAAAGGTATGGAGGTGAGAATAAGCATAGCATTTTCCATGGACAGAGTAGGATTAAGTAACTTTGAGAGGTTGGGAGAGAATTTAAGTTGGAATCGGTGGGAAATGAGAACAGAAAATTATTTGGGACTGCATGATGTGGAAGGCAGTGAATTCAGTTTTTACAAGTTTAGGATTGAACCTATATGTACTGAGCAACATTGGAGGTTTTTTGGAGCAGGGGAGTAATTAACTGAAGGTCTTTTTTACGGAAGATTCATCTGGCAGTTGGGTATAGGTGAGCATGGTGAGAATTTGGTGGAGTGAAGCCTGGCTAGGAACAGGAATAAACCATGGACTGTCCGAGGAATGAACAAATCTTGTCTTGAAAGAAGTACGGCTGAATGCTCCTTAGACGCGAGAATGTCCAGACTCTGTCTCTTATACTTTGGTCATGTTATCAGAAGTGCCCAGTCCCTGGAGGAGGATATCATGCTTGGTAAAGTAGAGGGTGAGTGAAAAAGGGCAAGACCCTAAATGAGTGGATTGACACAGTGGCTGCAACAGTGGGCGCAGGCACAGCAGTGACTTGAGGCTGGTGCAGGAGCCGGCAGTGTTTCGTTCTGTTGGACATAGGGTTGCTACGAGTTGGAAGTGACTTGATGGCACCTGACAACAACAGCAGGAACAGTTGACTTAGATGCGGGTGATAGACTGTTCTTTCCCTTGTCTCATCTCCAAAGAAGAGTATGATGTTTGGTCAATTTAGAAATACAACAACTGTGTGAGATAGTTGGCTCTCAAGGGAAAAACTGTCATTTGGAATTAAATGAGCTGAGTTCAAAGTATCCCCCGTGCATGTGTCTAAGCTACCACAAAGCAGTCAAAATTTAATTTCATTTTATGAATCTGAAAGTCATAGGAAAGAATAAGAGGTACATAGCATACTTCTCATGAGTAATTACTTGGCTTTTAATGTGTTTGCAGGACAGTGTTCAGTTGAAGGACCTGTGGAAGAAAATCTGCCATCACAGTAGTGGGATGGAGTTTCAGGATCACCGCTACTGGCTGAGAACACATCCCAACTGCATTGTAGGAAAGGAGTTAGTTAACTGGCTAATCCGCAGTGGGCACATTGCTACAAGGTAGTAGATCTTAAGGAAGGCATTTTGATATTATTTGATTAATTTAATTTTAATGAGGACACATTGGAAGATGAAGGGAAATAAAATTCTTCATGAGTAAGGTGATATTCAGAATTTAGCCAGTAGAGAATAGATGCTAGGAGCCACATGGGGCGTCCCGTTAGCCTTATTAAAAGCAGAAGCATGCAGTAATTCCCAAGATGCAGAGCCCTCTACTAAAGCAGGATTGAGGAATGGAGCTGGGGCCTATTGCCAAAGTGGATTCTCCTGCTACTATTTTCTAATCTAGACATTGCACCTGTCTTGAGAATTAATCCATGAGCCATGCTTGGAATGTCCTAGCCCACCTTACACATCACTTGTAAGATAGAGTGACTATCCTGTTGCTTTTCAAGTTATCATGTCCCCTGGTTCTTATCACTTGCTTAAGTTGACAGGTTCTTTCATGGGAAGAAACAAGTTGTGGAGAGAGAAAGAAACAGCTTTAAGCAGTGAAGCCCTGGGTTCCAATTTTGACGTTATTTCCTTTTAGTTTTGTACTTTTAGTCAAGTTACTTGATCTGTCTGAGACTTGGACTTGTACAGATGAATTTATATTTCATACCTATACCTGTAATACGTAGTATCTTCTCCTCAAGACTGTAAAGTTCCTTTAGTGTAGAAACCATGCTAGCCTTGATTTTTTTTTTTTTTTTACTCTCTAGTAAGTGCAGAGGTGTGCATGCATTAACAACTGACTAAATGCTTGTTGTAATTAAAATTAGTTTTGTTAAGGCTGCTTTACTAGTAGGTACTCCTTTTTTACTATGGTACCTAGAAGCATTTTCCAATTTAGTTTCAAGTATATTTTGATTTATCTTATTCCTCACCTACCCAAGTACCCTTTGAAATTCCAACCTTACTAGATCTTAAAAAAAATAAAGTTTGTGTCTTATGTACCTGTAAAATTATTTTGACTGACTGTTATTTTTTTATAACTTCTTTTTGTTGGTCTTGATTCAGGGCACAAGCTATAGCAATTGGACAAGCAATGGTTGATGGACGATGGCTGGATTGCGTTAGTCATCATGATCAGCTTTTCAGGGATGAGTATGCACTGTACAGGCCCCTGCAGGTGATTTTCAGTGTTACTGCCAGTGACAATATAGCAAGCTTGTTCTTAAGTCTTTGTTCATCAGTGGAAATAAAAAGTAGCTGAATTACCCAAAGATTCTCTTTTGCTCATCTGTTTCCTGTGCTGTTTAAAGAAAGTTAAAATGATAGTGGAAAAACCTTCTATTGGGATCAAGCATCTTACTCAATTGATGTAGCTTGTCTTAAGCTTGACCTTGTGGTATTATAATTAATTGTCATTTAACTTTAATGGTTTTCAGTTTTACTTTGTGTTTTTAGAGTTGGGGGAGAGTGTATTTAATAAAATTATTGAAAAAACTAACATCACCATTGAAATAGATTCTAACTTTTTAACAATGTTCAATTATACTCAAATAGTAAAACTATGAATATTCTATTTATCTGATTTTTAAAAATTTAATGAGGGAAATGGAAGTTCCTTGTTTAAGGTAGAGCTTTATAAAAAGGTATATTTCACTTTTGGTTTATGTAATTTGATACAGTTAGTGTTTAGTAACACATTGGTGAGTGCAACTAGAAGCTCAGTGGTTAGAAGAAAGAGCTAAATGACACAAAAGTCTAGTGTCATGTGATTTGTTAAAATCTAAAGTTAATCTTTTAGCATGTGTGTTAGGATTGATGCAGGGTTAGAACAATTTTTAAGTTATCTTCACTCTCAGATCTAAAGGATGAAATGAAACACTGAAAATTCTGTTAAATAAGTATTTTGTTCATAATACTACTTCTCTGGTTAATGAAAATTATAATTTTCTTTTAACAGTGTAATTATTGGTATGTTTATAACTTAGGTTTATAGCTTAGTTTTTATTTATTTTTACCTAAATGTGTTTAGTGGTTAGATTTGTAGAAATAGTTGATGAGAATTTATTTGTAGTGTGACAGCCTCAGTGTCGTTGGCATTGAGGGTCAATTGCCTGGATCCTGTCTTGACCCCTTCAGAGTACAGAATTTTCCGAGACACCTTCTCCGGACAGTGACTCCGTGAACTCTGTGGAAGGACACTCTGAGCCATCTTGGTTTAAAGACATAAAGTTTGATGACAGCGACACAGAGCAGATAGCTGAAGAAGGTGACGATAATTTGGCTAGTGAGTTTAACTTTCTCACATTTTAGTTTTTATGAGTCATTACTGTATATGTATGATAAGATCAGGTTCAAGTTTATTTAGTTTAAATAATCTTTAAGATTTATGACTCCAACTAAATGTAAACATCTGATAGCAATCCTTGTCCTAGATACAGTATTTTCTTAAGAAATTGACTTATTAGGCCACTTGCGTTTCCAGATTTTACCATAGTCTTGTTTGCAGCAGCTTAAAAATAACTCTGAGCTAATAATAACGCAACAGACAACCTTCTCACCTCTTCACTATAATATCAGACTTTCTTTCAGCAGAACTTCCAATATATTTCTTTATTTTAAAAATTGATTTTATATATTTAACCTGTTCAAATTTTATTAAGTCTGCACACAGAAGTACATGAAAATACTGTATCCATTTTGGTATTGCACATTGGGCTTGTATATTAAAAAAAATTTTTCTCCTTTCCTCCAATACCCTGATGAAACCCATTTTTACCCCCTCCTCTCCTTATATTTCTTTCCCCTCCCCAACACTAAAAGATTCTGCCAGTCCTAGCAAGCGCACATCAGTCAGCAGTTTCCAGTCCACAGTGGACAGTGACTCAGCTGCTTCTATCAGCCTGAACGTGGAGCTGGACAACGTGAACTTCCATATCAAGAAGCCCTCCAAGTACCCACATGTGCCCCCTCACCCTGCTGACCAAAAAGGTAGGAGGTAGTTGGCATCTGGAATCCAAGCACAGGCTGTAGAGCTGGGCCATAGGCTATCATGTCAGCTTGTCCTGACTTCCTCTGTCCAGAATGAATAGCTGAGTGTATTTGGTGTGGGTTTTGTTCCGCCCTTTCTCATGTCCCCCCACACCACCTCCCACACCTTTTTTTTGGTTGGTTCTTTTTATTTCTTATTTTCTCCCTCAGGAACACCACGCCCAATTTAAAGCTTGTGGTCTTTAAAAGAAACTACATCTGACTGTTCTTCCCTTAGCATAATGTGCAACTTCCAAGGTGGCATTTCTTTGCATTTATAACATGGATGTTCTGCTCCCTTCTTTTCTCTTTCTTCATTTAACATTTTAAAGCCTATTTGCTTATGCTGTTGCCCAGTAACATAGTGTTTCATTAAAGCTGTTCAGATTCTTCAAGTAGATTGGGGGAAAAATATTCACATATTTCAAGAGATGTTTCCACTGTAATTTATCATGCTTATTATGTATATGCTGTATTTATATTGTACTCTCAAATTAATACAGAATGAATTCCTGCCTTATTATTAGCTGTCTTATTTGTAGTTTTAGTCTACTGACTCAAAAATAATAATGGCCATTTTTACAAGATATTTGCTATAAAAGGAAAAATAAGATATACTGTTACGAAAGTCTAATATGGCCCCACATAAGAAACAAAATGTCTCTTTTTAAATGGATGATGATGTTCTGTTTGATGTAATTAAAAACCATTTAAACTTATAGCCCAAAAGTGACATTATATAAAGTAAAATTAATTGTGAGATTTTATTTTGTCATATACCTGCAAATCATTATTATAAAGATGAAGCACTTTATTACATGATTTTGCCTGGAATTTGAATTTTTAACATTTGGCTCTCTAAACTTGAAGTAGTTCTTCATTTACATCTGAAATGCTTTCCAGACTCTTTGCTGTTCTCTTTTTGAGCCTAAAAATATGACCAGAAAGGAGAAGCTGTCCTTTTGAGCTTAAACATCTGTACTAAAGAATTTAAATATATTCATAGTCATGCAACATAGTTCTGATATGTACCAATAGTAGCCATTGTCAAGCTGTGTTACATTGGCATTTAAGAGTTAGAGTAATAAAAGGATGTATCTAATTTAAAAATAAGTAATTTAAGCAGGTTGTGGGACAGGAGAAGACTTGACTAGCATTGAACTTGAGTGAGATACCATCTTTATAGTACTCCTCAAAATGAAAATTGGAGAAAAGGTGGAGAACATTTGGGTGAGTATGAAAGGACAATATAGCTGAAGTGGCACTTGTCTTAGAACTACCTGTAGACTGTAGTCAAATGGAGGGTACTGGGTAATGCTTTCATAATACAAGTACAGATGTGGTTCATAAACAGGATATGTCATGGTGGAGGGCATCTGTTCTCAGGACATCAGTTATTCCATTTTGCTGAAAGCAGAGTGTGAAATACATTTCTGACTTGCTGATGATTCCGCCTCTTGGATAGTTAAAGAAATTTTGAAAATCTTAAAGAAAGTGACCTATAATCCTAGAATTCATAATAGCAAGGTATGGGCTGCTGAGCACAAGCATGTATTTCAGAATGTTGGGAGAGGAATGGAACCAGAGACTCTAGAGGTATTTTTATAGTGCGACCTTAAATTGTTTCACCAAGTAGAGTCAAAGGAGAGCCACCTGTAGAGGAAAAACTGTCTTACTCTTCTGGGACCACTCAGATCTCAGACTTTAAAAAATACTGCAGAAGACATGAGACTTTTGAAAAGATTGTCTGTGAAAGTTGTGAGAGACAACCTTCGTGTGAAGATGAATCTGAAAGAGGGGCCAGCACTTTTAGGAAAAATGACAGGATGGCAAAAGTGCAAATTGTACCAAAGATTAGGGAAAATGCCAAGAATATCTGAGAAAATATTTTTAAAACTATGATGGAAATAAAGAAACACTAGACCAGTTATTTGGGGAAGTTGATATAATGTTGTTTGATGATTGAGAGAAGCTTTTTCTTTCTTTTCTTTTTTCTTGCTGCTTTCTCTTGTCAAAATTAATCTCAATAAGAAAAACAGTAGAATGAAGTCCAAGCTAAGAATCTAAGTTATTAAGAGATGGAGAATACCTGGTTATTTAAAATATGTCTGTTTTCAAATTTAGTCAAACTATGTGCTGGATTATTGAGAGAATCTGTAGTTGTGATTATGGAGTCAGAGTTGGTGATCTTTGAGGTGTTAAAGACAATAGGAGAGGAAGGAGAGGACCTAGATGACTGCAGTGATAGATGCATTAATTTTTTTTGCTAAAAGAAGGGTTCTTGATGTGATATTGAAAGTTGGTAAAATTGTAGAAAAGTTTGGAGAACATAATGTCCTGTGGTGTTTAGAAGAGTAATTGGTGGTGACTGGGCAACAGCATTGGTTAACTAAAACAGGTTATTCCAGAACAACCCTTTTCTGTATTTTATAATAATATTAGATTGGGAGAATATGATAGGTATTGTCTCCTTTGACGTTAATAAGACAGTTGATGGTCTCTTGATAGTTTTGCAGATTAAGAGCTTATGCACTTGAACTGTATTAATGAGGGAGTTAAAGGGGTAGTTAAAAGCAGTGATGAAATTTACTTGTTAAAAGCATAGGGTCTGGAGTCAGATGGCACATTATATGAGAAACACATGTTAAGGGCTTAGCGTGTTTGGCAAACGTGAGACTCAGTAGCACCACTCTTAATATAACAGGTGGATTTGTAGCTTGTTTTAATGATTGTACCAGATAATTGAAGGGTTAATTAATAGTTTAATGCCACGGGAAGGAGATGCTCTGAGCTATTGCTGCAGTGCTGTGTCTACAGTGGGATTCAGCACTTCTTTGTCTCAGCACTGTTAAGCTTTTTCAGAATGACAGTGGTTGAAAACTGGAAAGAATAAATGTTTTTGTTAGTAGAATTGAAATTTAAAAAGGTCTCTGTTTTCTTAAATGGTAGTCTGAGACTAACAAGATAAAAAGGAATACAGTTAAACGTAAATCAACGTAATTAGGCCTGAAAAATTTACTGTTAATATTTTATGGGGAAAAACCAAAAATAAACCAAACTCACTGCCCTTGAGTCATCCCCATTCTTAATAATTCATGTGATAAAGATTTAAGTTTTAGTTACTTACAAATTCAGTAGTTTCATGTGACTAAAACTACTTCCTTGCCCCATTCTTATGCAATGATAGGGCTCATTAGTGGCAGAATGATGTTCAGAATAAGGGTCTTATTTAAAGATTTGTGTTTGGTTCTGATTTATGAATAGAGGTGGGTTTCTAGGATCCTGAGATATCTGGAAACCATGTTATATTAAGATTGACTGACTAAAGACTTTAAGGAGATTTAAAATAGAAAAAAGGCTTGGTGTGACGGTTAGGTGTTTGAAGTAAATAAAAGAAATTAAATTCATTGTTTATATAATGGAAGGAAGAACTAGGTTCATTCAGTAGTTAGGAGTTGTGAGTGTTTGCCACTGTGCACTGGAAGTGTCCAAGTGGCATCTGAATGTCTACCTGTCAGGTTTCTTGAGGAGAGATGCATACATTGGGTGAAGGTTAGGTAGACTTGATGATTGCTGAGTTTACGTTTAATTCTGAGTTTGTGAAATGAAAAAAATCTAGATATATAATTTAAAAAAATTTTTAATAAATGTAAAGAATCCTTTAGCTTACTAAAGAATATTGTAGAAGAGATTTCAGTGTCTGAAAAAAGGTAATTACCTGTTGATCTCATCACTGATTAGTAACCTTGAGATTCTGTGATCAGGAACTTTATAAACCTTTCAGTAAATGTTTCTGAACTTTGTAATTCTCTCACCAATTTTTAGCATAATAACAAGAATTCTTTTCTCATTTTTCTTGTGAGGTCAAAATATGAGAAAATATTTTCCCCTGAGTTTGTTTGGTTTTGTATTGTAGTTAAGATGAACACTGACTACTAGAAAGGAAAGACTGGCAGGTAGTAAAGTGAAGGACCTGATAACAGGCTTATCTTGCCTGTGGTTTTCATTGCCCTCTAGTACAAATGGGAATGGGTTGTCTTTACCATCCCATTGAAATTAAAGATAATATACTTACTCTTTTCTTATGAATCATTTCCTGTCTTCTAAGACTGAGGGCATTTAGATTTTTAAAAATTGGTAGAAATTTCTGCACTTCAAAAAATATGTTTTTTAAATCTTACATGAGCAAACCTGAGCTTATGAAACTTGGGCAGTGTGATCTTCTGATTGGATTAGTTTTTCACTCTTTGTCTTGGAGTATTGTACATTTAAAATACATTTTATGATGTGTTGCAAGAACACACTGAACCATTCTTGGAAAGTTAGTGAGTCAAAACTCGAGAAAAAAGTAAAAAATTGTTGTTTCCTCAAGCCTCTAGATCTAGCTTCCCACCTATAAGAGAATACAGGCTAGACAAGCGAGTTAAACAGCCCTGTGGGGAAACACTGAGAAATCCAGAGCATGGACCATAACACAGGATGTTTGCTCCGGGATCTTTCAAAATTCATTGTCCTGAAAAAGGAAAAAAAATGGAGGACTGTTCTAGATTAAAAGAGAATGAAGAAACAGATACAATGCATGAACCAGATTGGATCCAAGTTTGAAAAAAATAACTTCTATTAAAGATGTTTTTGGGATAGTTGGATACATTTGAGTATGAACTATATTGACATTATCCATTTTCTGAAGTGTGTTAATGGTATTGTGACTATAGAGAAGGATGCCCTTATTCTTAAGAGATGTGTGCTACAGTAATAGTGCTAAACTGTTACAATGTGTGTACCTTGAAATAGTTCAGGAGAAAAAAAGTGTACATCCATGTAGAGAGAAAGTAGATATAATGTTGACAATTATTAAATCTAGGTGGAGGTTATACAGAATTTTGCATATGTTTGAAATTTTCTTGTAATAAAATGTCGGGGGAAATCCATCACTTACGTTATTTCATATATGTACACACACATGTTTAAGCTTTAGCATAAAAAGTAAAAAAGTAAAGCTTGTAAAGAACAATGTATTAATTGAACAGAGGTTGGCATTATTTATTTCTGTGAGGGAGGAGCAGAGTTACAGTTCAAAATCTATCTTTACTTGCCTGCATACTTAGTTTTATTTGTCATGGCACATTTGAATTTTCTAAGTAAATATTTACTTGGATTCCTGATTTATAGGATGAGTATATTTGCTCATAAAACACTGGCTCGTAAACACACTGACCTTGAAAACCTATTTGTTTATAAGTGAACTTTGCTTGAAGAGAATTTTTTTGAGAATTTTTACTTTAAGGAATACAAGATGAATTGTGGTTTAATTTGCATAGTAGAGAAACTATGCTTGATCACCGACCTAGAGAGGAGCTCATGGGGAAGTAAAGAGTAAGTTTCACTTGCAAGAAGAATATTGAATATTCTAAAAGCATTCCGAGTATGTTTAGCAGTTCTCATAAGGCAATAATTTAGAAGTTATTGGTTAGAATTTTTGAGAAACTAAAACTCTAATTTAAAACTAACAAAAATTCTAATGAGTAGCATTTTTAATCCTTGCTAGTGTCATGTTTGTATTAATTTTATAGCTTACATTCCAAAATTAAAAGGTACTTTATGTTGTTTTATCAGGTGGCTTCTCTATCTGTGAACTAGTTTGAGTATAGAGGAAGTCTTGATTTGTTAAAGTATGCAGTTATACATGAGAAAAGTAATGTAACCTTTTAGACTGTACGTGTAAATTGCTGAAGATCTGAATTTGCGGGGCAATGATGGGTTTAGTATGAGTAATACTTTCTTTGTGTGTGGGTGCATTTTCTATATAATTATCTGGGTATGTTATAGTCATATGTCTCTCCTTTCCTTCCTCCTCTCTTTGCTCTCTCCTTGATATGCAGAGTATTTGATTTCTGACAATGGAGGACAGCAGCTCTCAATAAGTGATGCTTTCATCAAAGGTAATTTAACCAAAAGCTGTACATGGGATGATGTCTCTTTTGTTTATGAGCATGTACTTAGGGCCTCGCACATTGAGGGGTGCATAGTAGGTGCTGAAAATACATTTAATTATTTTAGTGTAATAGGAACACAGTTTTTAAGTATACATCATGACTGAGAATATTGAGAACCAAGAATATAAGCTTGGACGTGGTTTAGGAGAAAGAGGTCTTTGATTTGAAAAATTGCTTAAAAATTTTTAAATATAATTTGATTTTTTTTTTCTTTTAAAGATGTTTTATACTTTCTTGAATCATGAATCCCATTGAATCATGGATGTAATATTAAGTGCTGATATGTATCTATATATCTATTGCTAACCCACTGCCATCAAGCCAGTTCTGACTTATAGCAACCCTCGTTGGGTTTCCAAAGTTGTAAATCTTTACAGAAGTAGATTACCTCATTTTCCTCCCATGGAGCAGCTGTTGGGTTTGAACCACTACCTTATGGTTAGCAGCCAAATGCCTTACCCACTTCGCCACCAGAGCTCCTCTCTCTCTCTATCTATCTATCTATCTATCTATCTATCTGTCTATGTCAGGGATTGTCAAACTTGTCAAAAAGCCCATGGGCAGATCTCATCCAACTGAGGAGACTGTTTGTCCTGTGGAGTTGGGGAGAAAAATACATAGAGGGTCAGAACTCACTTTGCTAATCAATTTCTTGGAGGGGAAGAGGAGAATAGAAGAATAAAGCCTTCCTTCCCTTCCTTTCCTTGCTTACTGTGGCGTAGATGACATCCTCAACTTAATGGTCCAGAAGAGTTCACAGCTCAGGCTTCAGATAATGGGATAAAAGTTCCCATCCCGTTGTGTTTTCTTGGCTCTGAAGGTTTCAGATAAAAGAGAGAGAGAGGTGGAGCATGCTGGTGCACGGGAGGCCACTTGTAGCTGATCTCATAACTGGGCAGTGCTTCTAAATTTAGCTCCAGACATGTGGTTCAACTAGAATTTCACAGGCTGCAGTTTACATAATTGAAATGTGCAATCACATTCCTCAGTGCTTTACTGAGTAGCTTGCTGGAGTCTCTGGTTGAAAGTTTGTTTTGTTTGTTTGGTTTTATTTAAGAGGGTGAGGTTGGAGAGTTTCGGAAGTTCTTCCTCCTTTCTATTTTTCAGCAATTATTTAATGAGTATTCTTTGTGCAAAACAAAAATTTTAAGTATTAATTTTTTTGGTCTTGATCTATTTTTCAGCCTTTTTACTTGAGGATTTTACTCTCTGGTAAAATTAATTGCTATTTATCATGTCTTAATATCTCTTTATAGTTTATTTTATGTCTCTCTTGTTAAACTTGTTTTTCAAAGGCTTTTGTTCCCATATTGAAAAAGAAACTCTATTAAAGATTGTCTGAATAGACTTTTTAAACTGTCATCTACCTTTTCAAACATATTTGAGGTGAACTTCTCTTTTTTAAAGTTCAGCACTCCATCAAATGTTATGCATTCACATTTCTGTCACAGGGAAAATTTACCCCCTCCTTTTTTAATATCCCCAAATAAATAAAAGCCCAGCATAAAAATCTATTTTTATTTGCTTTGCAGAAGGTGTGTTTGTAATTATTAGCTTGAGAGTCCTAGTTCCTTCTATGAATCTGCTTTTCAGAGTTCTGTCTCTGATTTGGCCATTGCCAATTAGCGGTAATCTAGTTACTTTATTCTTACACTTACGTATTTATATGTGTAATATATGTACATATGTTATGTGTATATAATATATGTATTTTACTTATGCATTTATAATTGCCAACTCGAGTTTGGTCAACTTAAAAAAATTTAAGAGAATCTGATGATTTGTAAAAATAGAAGTAGATGGTTTAAAACGTGACAGTGAAGTAATAACTTATTTCACCTATTACATAGAATCATTATTTAATCGTCGGGTAGAGGAAAAATCCAAAGAGCTTCCTTTTACACCTTTGGGCTGGCATCATAACAACCTGGAGCTCCTGAGGGAGGAGAATGGAGAGAAACAAGCTATGGAGAGATTGCTGTAAGACAGTGAGCTTTTAATTTTAATTTTCCATTTATATGATCTTTAATGACTTGATAGGCATATGTATAGTTCCTCTTCCTTAAAGTTAAAAATGTTAAAATTACTTAGGAAATAAAGCCTGTTCTGATGAAATTTTTTATAAAATAAGAGTCCCAGATAGTGCCTGGTTGTACCCATTGTAGTAATGTGTCAGGATTTTATTTCAGCCAATTAAAGGGGACATCCTGAATGAAGATATTCACAGATTTCATTTACGAGCAAAATCATTAAGGTGTAGATGAACCAAAAGAGTAAAATTGACCTAGAAGGTCTTAACTGTGAATCATAATTCTTTCTTTGTAGACAATTGCATCTTCCGAATGACTGTCTCTGGCAGTATTAACTATGCAAACTTCTCTCTGTGACATTTTTTTTTTTTTTTGTAGCTCAGCTAATCATAACCACATGATGGCCCTACTCCAGCAGTTGCTCCACAATGAGTCACTGGCCCCCTCCTGGAGGGACGTTGTTGTGCAGCTGGTCTGCCAGGTTGTCCAGACGGTCCGACCTGATGTCAAGAACCGGGATGATGACATGGATATCCGTCAGTTTGTTCACGTCAAAAAAGTGAGCTCTGCTTGTGCTTCCCTCATGCTGGGAGCTGCTGAGGCAGCCAGACAGTGATTTTCTCTCAATGATGAAGAGTGAGGGGTGCTAGGTGAGGAGTGGTAGCTCTTGCTCAGGGTTTCAGACCAGTTTTTCCTGGTTCAGTCATGGCCAATGAAGTGAAACTGGAGTGGACCTGAATTTCTAAAATGTGGGTGAACTAGTACAGTAACCAGAATGGGGAAAACTACTGGTTGACACCCTGCTGGAGACTTAATCTTCCTCTTACAAAACAAGAGCAATGTGCATGTTGCCTGGCAGCCAAGTCTCTTGACTGGCAGAGTTGAAAATAGTGGTGCCTGGCTCAGAGATGTGGTTGACTGCACTGCTGTGAGTATGTGTCCTCCACGGTCTTCATAGTGATCCAGTCTCCTGGAAGAGCTCAGTACGCCTCTTCTGAGTCTCCCATTTCCGGGACTTCAACCCATATTTTTTCCCATTCTGGTTATCTTTCCATTTCATCCAAATTTAAAAAATAAAGATCTGTTCTGATTTTGCTGTGTTGGCCATGACTGAACTAGTTTAAACCAGAAATCCTGCTCTTGCTGTCCACTGTTGGTCAGCAGTATATGTAGGGGATCATAGAAGCTGCTTATAGGAAGTGAAAGGTGTAAAGAATGGATGAGTTAGGTGAGGGATGAGTTGAGAACCCAAACAAATGCATTTCTTTCTTTTTTGCTTCCTCTTCTTGATGCATCAGCTATGAGAAAGCCTCTTACCACAGATGACTGTCACTATTCTGAGGAAAAGCAGGGGGCACTTGCTTTTATTTAAGTAGTAATGGAATCCTTATGTATTTTTGGACCATGATATTAAAGGTAAACAATAGTGGTTTTAATTGCCATATGGCACAATTTATTGAGTCAAATGGGTATTGTAGAGTACCAGATACTGCCTTAGTGCGTAGAGGGTAGGAAAATAGACAATCATGCTGACATGCTGTTGATAATTAGTTGAAAGGAAGAAGTATATCCTGAACTTTTTGTTCCTATTTGATCACACAATAGTTGAAATTTAAAATGAAAAAAATAATAGCATCTTTTGACTGGAATCTAAGGGTGTATCACTGAATTTTAATTGTTTTCCTCATTGTTCCATTAGATCCCAGGTGGAAAGAAGCATGATTCTGTGGTTATCAATGGCTTTGTTTGTACGAAGAACATTGCACATAAAAAGGTAATATGATTTCGTTCAACAGTGACTCTCAGAAACCTTTACTGAACACTTGCATGTGCCAGATCTGAGGAGACAAAGGAAAGTAAAACATGATCCCTGACATTGAGAAGGTCATGGTCTAGTAGGGAGGAGCCCTGGTGGTGCACTGGTTAAGCCCTCAGCTGCTAACCGAACAGTTGGTGGTTTGAGCCATCAGCTGCTCTGTGGGAGAAAGATGTAGCAGTCTGTTTCTGTAAAGATTTAACAGCCTTGGAAAATCCTATGAGGCAGTTCTGTAATGTCCTGTTAGGGTCACTGTGAGTCAGAATTGGCTTGACATCAGTGAGTTTGGTTTGGTCTTCTGGTCTTGTCTAGTAGGGGAGACAAGCATGTAAAATTGTATTACAGATGATATGCATGATAACAGAAATACTATATCCCCCCCATTTTAATTTTAATAACTCTCAAATTGGGATGTTCTTAACTAATGGCATCTTAGCATTGTGTCCACATAATGTGGAAGAGGTATATTGTCAGGATTAGGTTCAACTGTGAATGACAGGAAAACTATAACAACAGTGGCATAACTGAGATAGGAGTTGATTTCTCTTTCATATAAACATAGGCAGTGCAGGCCTGGTATGGCCCTCTGAGGTATCTGAGATCCACATTCTTCTTCTGTCATTGATCCTTCTTGTATGACCTTGACCTCAAGGTCCATCCATGGGCTGAGGGCTAGGTCAGAGACTGTTGGGCCCATAGTTCCCTTGGGATGGGAAGATCTACTAGCACACAGAAGGGCTCATCCTGTTCCCTGTGCTGCCTGGGGATGCCAGGCTGAGTGCCAGAGCCACAGCAGCCCACAGGGAGGGCGCCACAGCTCAGCACTTAACCATTAGCATCACCCAGACACTTCAGACTTATAGTTGGTAAAGCAGTAAGCCTCCTGAAAATAATTGGTGACCGTAGATAAATAGAAGTATGCTTGGATCTGATATTATTCATAGCTGTGATCAAAAGTCAATGGGTATTACTACATAGAATCTTACTAAAACAACCCATTATCCTTTGAAGTAGTACTTTAGACCAAATTAAGTGGCCTTTGGTTGAATTGAGATAAATATGTTGTACTCTTTTTTGGAATTGAAAAAAATTGCATGTGGGTGTGGTGGAAACATATCCCTGAATGACTGTCTTGCCCCATTGGCCATATTTAGAGATTTAGAGAGTCTTTGATTTGTAGTTGCTGAAAGTGTCCTGAATGTGGTTCCCCAGCTGGTGAGTCACTGTTTTCAAAACCAGTTGCCAGTCAGAGCCTGTCAGCTTGGCCGGTCTGAAACGTTGACCTGAAAGAGCTCATTTGTTCCGGCTGTAGGGTCCTGGCTCTTCTGCCTGTGACTTGAGTCCCACCGTTAGGGTATGTTGTTTGGAATCTCTGCTTCTGGAGCTGCATTACGGTTTTCTTCTTGTTACCCAAATCTGCTTGTCAACCTGTGCTCACTTAGAAATTTTTTAGAAGTATTTTCAGGAAGTGTTTTAATTCTTCTCTCTTGCATCTACCCCTGTTGAATTTTTGAAAGACTAAAATAGTTTGGTTTTTTTTTTGTTTAATTTTTATTGTGATTTGGGTGAAAGTTTACAGAGCAAATTTCATTTTCCACACAGCAGCTCACATACACTTTGTCTTATGACATTGACTGCAATTTACCACAATGCAACAGCTCCCCTTCCTCTTCCTCCCCATAGTTCCTACTTCCCTGTGTCCTTCCCTCCCATGCACTCTTGCCTCCTGAGCTGTCTCCCTGTCCATACACAGCCCTTCTGTTCTCCCATGATTGTTCTCTCCAAGGAGTGTATCTACCTAATGTAAATGTTCACCTCATATGCTTGCCTTTTATTTGACTGGAAGCCATAGGAGTGGGTTCAGTTCCAGACCAGAAGGGCAGCTAGGGGCCATATAGCCTCAGTGGTTCCATCAAGCTCTATCAGACCAACACTGGTCTGTTTTTTTTTTTTTAAATGATTTTGAGTTTTGTTCCACATTGTTCTCCTACTCTATCCAGAATCTCCTACATAGATCCCCCTAGTTCTTCTGGTCTCATAGACGTATAGGCTGAGGATCACATGATGTACCACTTGCTTAGACTAATTATTTCCATGCGTCTTTGGTTTTCTTCATTCTTCTTTGCTCTGGATGAGGAGAGACCCATTGTTGCATCTAGATGGCTGCTTGCAAGCTTTAAGATCCTATTCGTTACTCGCCAAAATAGGATGTGGAACAATCTTTTTGTGTAGTATGCTATGCCAATTTAGCTTGCTGTCCCCTGCGACCATGGTCCCGAGCCCACAGATCCAACTGCTTGCTTCCTCTAGGTAGCTGGCTATGGCCAAGAAATGACTACAACCTTGTCCCTTGTCAGCTTTACTATATACTTGGGAACTCTTACAGAACATAGTAATACACTTGTAGAAACATTGTCTGCCAACCCTATACATGGTCTTGGGCACACGTCCCCCTGCATAGACATACCTAACTGTTCAGCCTGTCCACCCATGGATCAGTGTTTGCCATCACTGACAACACAGTACTGTATGTACATAAGGGTTCATCTTTGTTGTCTGTACCTCTCATGGACTTCCCTATGTCTTCCTCTTCCTCAGTGTCACCAGGTTGATCACTCATATTTGGTACATTGCCTTTCCCTTCACCCAAATCAATAATTGTCTCTACCTGTCTAGCAGTTTCCCCTCCCATCCCTGGTAACCAATAAGGAAAGTTTCCTTTCATATATAGACCTTTCCTTGACTTTTTACAATAACAGACTAATACAATATTTGTCTTTCTGTGATTGACTTATTTCACTCAACATAATATCCTCCAAGTTCATCCATGTTATGTGGTGGTTTGCAGATTTTACATTATTCCTCAGGGTTGCATAGTATTCCATTGTGTGTATATACCATAGTTTGGTTACCCATTCTTCTGTTGCTGGGCACCTAGATTGTTTCCATCTTTTTGCTATTGTAAATAGTGCTGCAGTGAACATGGGTGTGCATATATCTGTTCTTGTCCTGACTCTCACTTCTTTAGGATATATACCGAGTAATGGAATGGCTGGGTCAAATGGTAATTCTAATTCCAACTTTTTAAGGAATCTCCATACTGCTTTCCACAGTGGTTGTATCATCCAGCAACGTATGAGAGTCCCAGTCTCTCCACATCCTTGCCAGCATTTATTATTCTCTGTCTTGTTGAAATTTGCTACGAGTGCTGGGGCGAGATGGTATCTCGTTGTTTTGATTTGCATCTCTCTAATGGCTAATGATTTGGAACATTTCTTCATGTGTTTGTTGGCAGCCTGAATATCCTCTTTGGCGAAGTGTCTATTCATGTCTTCTGCCCATTTTTTAATTGGATTATTTGTCTTTTTATTGTTGAGGTGTTGGAATTTTCTATAAATTTTAAAGATAAGTCTCTTGTCAGATATGTCGTTGCTGAATATTTTTTCCCAATCTGTAGGTTCTCTTTTTACTCTTTTGGAGGAGTCTTTGGAAGCACATAAAAATTTAATTTTTAGAAGGTCCCATTCATCTAGTTTCTTTTCTGCTGTTTGTGCATTTTGGGTTATGCTTGATAGTCTATTTATGGCATATATCAGGGCCCCTAAATTTGCCCCTAATTTTCCTTGAGGAGCTTTATAGTTTTAGGTTTCACATTTAAGTCTTTGATCCATCTGGAGTTTGTTTTTGTGTGTGGTGTGGGGTACATATCTTGTTTCATTTTTCTGTAAATGGATGTCCAGTTTTGCTAGCACCATTTGTTAAACAAACATTCTCTTCCTCATTTAATGGATTACAGCCCTTTGTCAAAGATCAGCTGACCATAGGTTGATGGATCTATTTCTATTCTCAATTCTATTCTATTGGTTTGTATGTCTGTCCTTGTACCAATCTCAGGCAGTTTTGACTACTGTGGTTGTATATTAGATTTTAAGATCCAGGAGTGTGAGACCTCCTACTTTGTTTTTCTTCTTCAGTAGTGCTTTGCTTATCTGAGGTCTCTTTCCTTTCCAAATAAAGTTAGTGATTGGTTTTTCCATATCCTTAAAGAATGTTAATGGGATCTGGATTAGGATTGCATTGAATGTATAGATTGCTTTGGGTAGAATTGACATTTTCACAAAGTTCAATGTTCTTATCCATGTACATATGTTCTTCCATTTATGTAGATCTCTTATGGTTTCTTAAAGTAGTCTTTTGTAGTTTTCTTTGTACAGGTCTTACATACCCCTGGTAAGATTTATTCCCAAGTATTTTATTTTTTTGGTAGCTGTTGTAAATGGTATTGATTTTCTTACTTCTTTTTTAGCAATATCTTTGCTGGTGTAGAGGAATCCACTTGATTTTTGGATATTGACCTTGTATCCTGTTACTATGCTATCTCTCAATTAGTTCCAGTGGATTTTTTTACTGACTGTCTTGAGTTTTCAGGGTATAGGATCATATCATCAGGAAATAGGGTTAGTTTGACTTCTTCCTTACCCATTGGGATACCTTTGATTTCCCTTTCTTGCCTTATTACCCTGGCTAGGACTTCCAATACAATGGTGAATAGAATTGGTGATAGAGGGCATCCTTGTCTGGTTCCTGTTTGCAAGGGGAATGGTTTCAGTCTCTCTCCATTGAAAATAGTGTTGGCTGTTGGTTTTACATATAAGCCCTTTATTATGTTGAGGAATGTCCCGTCTATTCCTATTTTGCTTAGAGTTTTGATCAGGAATGGGTGTTGGATTTTGTCAGATGCCTTTTCTGCATTGATTGATAGGATCATGTTGGTTCTTTTCCTTTGTTTTATTTATGTGATAGATGATGTTTATTGTTTTTGTAATGTTGAACCATCCTTGCATACCTGATATGAATCCTACTTCGCCATAATGAATTATTATTTTTTTTTGATATGTTGTTGGAGTCTATTGGCTAGGATTTTGTTGAAGATTTTTACATCTATATTCATGATGGATATTGGTCTGTAGTTTCCATTTTTAGTGATGTCTTTGCCTGATTTTGGTATCAAGGTTATACTTGCTTCATAAAATGAATTTGGGAGAATTCCATCCTTTTCTATGTTTTGATATAGTTTGAGTAGGATTGGTTTTAGTTCTTTTCTGAATGTTTGGTTGAATTCTCCAGTGAAACCATCTGGGCTAGGGCTTTTTTTTTGTTGGTAATTTTTTT